CCCAGCCTAGCTTGCAAAGTCCTTGAGACTCTTATCTCCAGTTGAACACACACACACACACACACACACACACCTCTGGAAGTAGAGCTTTCACTCAAATGGCTCAGGGACAGTCCCCAGGCCCTGAGTTCAAGCCCCAGTATGCCAGCACAAACATAATAAAATAACCATAAAAAAAGAACACAACAAAAAATACTAATAATGATGTGGGAGAAAATATACTGTTGGTAGCAATGTAAATTACTATAGTCATTATGGAATGCAATATGCAGCCCCCAAAAAACTAAAAAGAGGACCAGGTACCAGTGGCTCATACCTATAATCTTAGCTACTCAAGAGACTGAAAGCCAGGCCTGTAATCCTAGCTACTCAAGAGGCTGAGATCTGAGGACCTCACTAAACTACTCAGAAAAAGCCAGAAGTAGAGCTGTGGCTCAAGTGGTAAAGTGCTAGGCTTGAGCAAAAGAAGCTCGGGGGAGGGGGGTGCTGGGAAGGTGGCTCAGTGGTAGAGCACTTGCCTTGCATGCATGAGGCCCTGGGTTCGATTCCTCAGCACCTCATAAGCAAAAAGGAAAAAGCCAGAAGTGGTGCTGTGGCTCAAGTGGTAGAGTGCTAGCCTTGAGCTGAAGAGCTGAGGGACAGCGCCCAGGCCCAGAGTTCAGGCCCCACGACCGGACCCCCCCGCCCCCGCCAAAAAAAAAAAGCTCAGGGGACAGTGCCAAGTCCCTGAGTTTAAGCTCCAGGAGTGCCACAGAGAGAGGTGGGGAGTGAAGGAGACTGAGATCTGGGGGTCATGGTTCAAAGCCAGCCCAGACAGAAAACTCCAAAACTCTATAATGAATTAACCAACAAATAGCTAGACTGGCAATATGGCTCAATTACCAGCTGTGAGAAAAATAAAGCTGAGCAAAAATACAAAGCTCTTAGTTCAAACACCAGTACTGGCACACGTGCACATACACACACACACACACACACACACACACACACACACCAAAAATAGAACTATCATATGATCCTGCAATACTACTCTTAGATATACATCAGAGTAATGTAAGTCAGAAAACAATGGAACCACTTGCACATCCATGTTAGAGCCCTATTCACAATAGCAAATCTATGCTCTACAACTGATGAATCAATTTAAAAATATATGATATATATCTACACAATGGGAATATTATTCAGATACAAAGAAGAATGAAACTATAGCATTTGTAGGTCAATGAATGGAGCTGGAGATTATCATGTTAAACAAAGTCAGACTAACAAAGGCAAAAAGCATATTTTTATATGTGGATTCTAGACCTAAAATATATAGAGACACATAGACATATATAAAAATTATAACTGGGCTGGGAAGGTGGCTCAGTGGTAATGTGCTTGCCTTGCATACATGAGGCCCTGGGTTCGATTCTACAGCACCACATAAGCAGAAAAAGCCAGAAGTAGTGCTGTGGCTCAAGTGGTAGAGCACTAGCCTTGAGCTGAAGAGCTGAGGGGCAGCACCCAGGCCCAGAGTTCAGGCCCAACAACCAACAAAAAAAAATCATAACTATAAGCCAAGCACTGGTGGCCCACACCTGCAATCCCACCTAAGATCTAAGAATCAAGGCTTGAAACCAGCCTGGGCAGGAAAGTCCATGAGACAATCACCAAAAAGCAAGAAACAGAGCTGTGGCTCAAGTGGCAGAGCACTAATCTTGAGCAAAAAAGCTCAGGGACAGCACCCAGGCCCTGTGTTCAAGCCCTAGAATTGGTATAAGAAACAAAAATGTGAACTAAGTGGGTAGCAGGTAGAAGAAGACAAAATAAGAACCAGCCTTAGTTAGCATTACCTCAATACTGCTTAGGGCTACAGACTTCATCCCCTGTGTTCAATGCACACACTCCACATATACATACACACTCACAAACATGCACATGTGCATGTATGAGGATTTCCAAGCTGCCTCCTCTCCACATTGAGTACAAGCATCTTGTTTGAGAGATCCTTCCTCCTGATAACTTCCTCATCTTATTGAAGTGCAGAGAGAAAAACAGCCTCTTCCATCATCATGTCTGCGATCCAGAGATGTGAGAAGCAGCCCTCCTCCCTGCACAGGGCTGGCCAGGCAGAGCTGCTCTACAATCCCCCTTGGTTACATCTCCCTGGGGCCCTCTCCTGGGGCCCAGTCTTGCTCTGCCTATGACTGCCTCCTCCTGAAGGGCCATGACCACTCTGGTGGGAAGAGCTTTCTCCATAACTTCAGAGGTGCTAAGGCCGGAGGAAAATAAACCGAGGAAAAGTCTTTTAATGTCGATTTTAAAGCCCAGGGCCACAACAGTGGCAAGGGTGTACTGCCTCAAATTCTCTGAGTGAATGGAAATAGAAGATCTGGGCTACTGTAGCCTCTGGCGGCAAGTAGTGCTCTAACTGAACAGTGCTCCTCAGCCATAGCCTGTCCAAAGACCACTATCAATACATTCATCTCTCTCTCTTCCTTTGTCCCTCTCACCTCTCTCTCCCTCTCCCTCCCCACCCCTTCCTTTACAATACTGGAAGGGCACACAGAAAGGAAATTCTTAGCCCTTTGCTCATTCATTGCTGTGGGTTTCTGAAGCAGATCTCAGCCAAGGGCATCTGTCTGGATGTCTGGATCAGATGTCTGGATCCGATGGGAAGGGCAGCATCTGAAGTCTTCATGTAGAAAGAAAGTGCAACCCTGAAGAGGCTGGCATCTCCAGAAGGCAAGGGGCAAGCTATGCCCCAGAATCCAGGGTCAAAGAAGATCATTTTTAAGAAAAAAAACAATATTATTAATAATAATATTCTTTATCTGATATGTCTCCATAGTTGAAATTTTGGTGGGTTTGTTGCTGGGTTGATTCATTTACTCACTGTAGTTCTACCATAGTTTCATCAGAAACTCTATTAAATGATGACAACAATATAAATAACACCTATCAAGTAACATCTAGAGTCTCACAAAACCTGTCTGTAAAATGAAGCAAAGGGCAGCTATACTGTTAGAGAAGGCACAGACAAGGGATAGCAGCCCTACTCTACCCTTCCCTGGTTAAGCCAAAGTTGCAGCCAGAATCCTGCTCCATGCTGACTTCCTATCCTGTCCAAAGAGATGACCTGGCTCAGTTCCTCACTTCCCACAAAGCAAAGAAACTTCACTTTCCCATCCACTCAGAGAGAATGTTCTTGTGTCTTGCTGTGTGATTCGAAGTTTAATAGACTATTAAGTGCCAAATGGTCTATGAGAGCTGAAAATAATTAAACTTAAATACTTCAGTTGTAAACGGAAGTGCAGAAAGAAAAGTTGATCCTCCTAATTCTCAGAACCTGGAAAATGAAAAACTTTAAGGGCCTTAGAGAAGAAACAGGCAGAGCCTGTCACCCATCAACCTCCTTGGAGATCCAGAATTGGTCTCTGGGATTGCAGCTCCGTTCTATTGTACCTTGGGCACAGGCTTCCTATCTTACCTGTATAAGATTACTAACAGGCCACTGTCTTCGTCTATCTGTTTAGAAGAACTTGTCTCATGCCACCCCCAAATTCACTGAAAGGAAAGATAAAGCCCAGAGAAAAAGGAAAGGGTTGTCAATAACTAGAGTATGTGGGTGAGGAAGCATAGTTGGATTTCTACAATGGTGAATAGTAACCGGTGAACCTCTGCTCTAGTAATAGACATATGACCTATTCCTGGCCATTTAGAACCCTTCCTACTTGGCCAGAATGGTTGGTTGAAAGAGGATATGGATCCTTAATGGGTCAACAACAGTCAATCCTGAGATGATTGCATTGACGGAAACAAGCCAAGAATCCATCTTTGCTCTTAAGGATGCCGCTCTTCCCAAAAATGAAGCTAACCTACAAAAACAAAAACAAAAAAAAGCTTATGAAAATAAGAAAAACATGAAGACCTGATGCAGTGTGGCAGGTGGTTAGAAGCCACCTCTGGCATAAGCAGCATGTAATACTCTTCTCTCCAGTTTAAAAAAAAAAAAAAGTGAGAAGTGGAGCTGCGACTCAAGCCCTGAGCACAAAAGCTAAAGGACATGCATAGGCACTGAGGTCCAGCCCCAGTACACACACACACACACACACACACCACACACTAACAGACAAAACACGGTGCTAAGGAGTGTTGAGAAGACAGGAGCCTGGCATCAGTGGTTCTCACGTGTAATCCTGACACCTGTAATCCTAGCTACTCAGTGTGAGGAAAATGGAGAAGACCGGATTCAACGGGTGAAGACTTTGAGGCACAGTCAGGGGTGGCCTTCCTTCCCGCGGGATGGGAGGTTGTCACAGCCTGAGGCCGGGATAGTTCGTGATTCAAGGGAGCAGATCATGGCACAAGGGGGCTGGTGCAGGACACAGGACATAGTTTTTCTCGGAACCGGGGTAGATGGAGACCTGTAGTTAGACCTGGAATGTCCCCCTCTCCCCCCCACCCTCGAGGTTGTGGAAATCCAGGGGTTCATGGTCAAGCCCGGAATGGAATGCTTTACCCAGGGCCAGATATTTGCTGATGCACCTGGGGAGGCTGAGATCTGAAGATCGAGGTTCAAAGCCAGCCGGGACAGGAAAGTCCATGAACCTCTTATCTCCAATTAACCAGTCGGAAGTGGAGTGGTGGACCGTGAGCCTTGAGCCCAATGACAGCACCCGAACCCTGCGTTCCAGCTCCAGGGCCCGCACAAAATAACCACAGAGAGGAAGTCTGGAACAGCTAACCACCAGGAGAGACGAGAGCGGTGAGGAAGGGGACAGATGCCGGTGGACGGGTCCTCAGATGACAGACCCCACGATGAGTGGACATCCAGAACTGTACGGACTGCGTAACCCGGAGTCTGCCGGCTCACGTTTGTCTCTGGGAGGAAAGCGCTCCACGCACTCGGCCCGGTTTCCCAGACCATTTGACCCGCCCAGTCTGGCTTCTCTCCGCCCCCCCGGGGGTAGAGCGCATGCGCGAGCGGCCGCGAGCGGCCAGCCGCGCAGCGTGGGGGGGGGAGAGTTGGTGTTGCGCGTGCGCTCTAGCTCCCGGTCGCTATGCGGGTGCTCGTGGGTGAGGGCGGGCAGAGGGAAAGTACGGGGCGGGCTCGGCTTAGAGTTTGAGGGCCGGCGTCCCAGGTGGAGAGAACGCTGCCTCCCGCACTGAAAACGCGACCCTGGCCTCCTAACCCCAGAAGCGGAATCCCTGGGGTCGGGTGACGCGGGTCACCTCGGCATGGCGGGCAGGGAAAGGGCCAGGCCCGGGGTCGGGCGGCGGGGACGTTTGAAACGGTTTGTGTTCTCGGACCAGGCGGCGGCACGGGCTTCGTGGGGACCGCCCTGACCCAGCTGCTGAAAGCCAAGGGCCACGAGGTGACGCTGGTGTCCCGGAAGCCCGGGCCGGGCCGGATCACGTGGGTACGCGGAGGGCGCCTGGGAGCCCGGGAGGGCGGGAACCGGCGGGAAGGCGGGCGGGAAGGGGGCGGGGCTGAGGGGCACTGTGTTGCTTTCTCCACTAGCATGAGCTCGCTAGCTCTGGGCTGCCCAGCTGCGATGCTGCCGTCAACCTGGCCGGGGAGAACATCCTCAACCCCCTCCGAAGGTCAGCCGGCCCCTCACCCCATCCTCCAGCTAGACTCCCCCCCCCAGGGATTGGAGAGGGAGGGACAAGTCTATGTGTGTACGCTGTACGACTACTTGTGGACTTTTTACTTCCTCTTATGATTGTCCTGCAGGTGGAATGAAGCCTTCCAAAAAGAGGTTCTCCGCAGCCGACTGGAGACCACCCAAATGCTGGCTAACGCCATCGCGAACGCCCCACAACCCCCAAAGGCCTGGATCATAGTCACAGGTGTAGGTATGCTCCCCTCCCCCCCAAAAATCACGAACTACCTACATTAACTAGGGGAAAGAAGGGAGCAGAGAGAGTAATCGGGCTTTAGGCTGTACACACCCCCAGAAAACTGTTGTTTTCCAGACACAGTAACTTCTGGGCCTTTCCTACATGCATGTTTCTCCGCGCCTCTGGGTACTTTTCACTTGAGAATTGGAGACCTGCGAGAGAGGAGGAATTGGTGTCGTTCCTGTTTTCAGGGAAACACGACTCAAGTGTTTTTGCACCACAGTTCTTTAGGAACAGAAGACCTGTTGTCACCTTTGGGAACAAATAATTGCAAAGAATTATAACGCACATATCAGTCACTATTCTTAAGTGTTTTATATACATCACATCATTTCCTTGTAACAGCCCTCTGAGGTAGGTACTATTATTCCCCACTATAAAAATACAAGACTTACATACAAACAGGCAAAGTAACTTACCAAATGTCAGAGTTCAGTGATAGAGCAGGAATTAAAATCCATGCTGCCTGATCCAGGTTTCTGTTAACCACTCTTGGCAGCCAAAGATAAGACTTCTTCCAGGAAGGTACAAGTCAGGTCAAGGAGAAACGCAAAGTAAAAATAGCTGTAGCTTTCTCCTCAAGGGGCAAAGAGAGTGAGGCCAAGTGGAGCCTTAACTACAAACGTACAGGATACCCAGAGCAAACCAATGTTTCACCCACAGCATACTACCAACCCAGCCTGACTGCCGAGTACGATGAGGACAGCCCAGGAGGGGACTTTGACTTTTTCTCCAACCTGGTAACCAAATGGGAAGCTGCAGCCAAGATTCCCGGAGATTCTACACGCCAGGTGGTGGTACGCTCTGGTGAGAATCAAGGGCCTGGGTACCAGGCAGGGTAGAATGACCTCTGGCCTGTGGACACGGGGATGGGGAGAGCAAGGGAGGGAGTCATGGCTTTTGGCCAACTTGCAGAGGGAAGGATGGGAAGCCCAAGAGCCAAAGTCCTCCACTCTTACAGTTAAGTCAACATATGGGGGGGGGGG